TTTTTTTCATATAAAGTCATTAAATTAATATTATACATAAATATTCAAAATAGTCTTGCCCCTGAATATATAAAAGCTGCCGAGAACCTTAAAGGTCTTGTGAAAGTAGCCGCAGTTAACTGTGACGACGAGGCTAATAGAAGGATTTGTGCTACATATGATGTTCAAGGTAAATATTATATAACATTCATTATATATTTTGTTTTAACTAAAATTTATGTCTTATTTCAGGTTTTCCGACTATCAAACTTTTTCCGAGTAAACCAATTGAAGATGAGAATGTTGTTGGAAGATTTACAAAAAAGCCTAAAGGTGATATTAAATTGTATCATTGCATTGCAATAAAAATTCTTTTTTAATGATTCAATGACTTAGTTGTCTATCTTTTCTAGATTATCTTGGAGCACGAACTGCTAAAGCAATTGTCGATTTTGCTCTCCCAGAGATACCATCTTTCGTGCATATAATCTCCAACAGTTATTCTATAAGTAGAGCTTTAACAATGGATGAATTTTTCTCCAAAGAGGTATACATTAACTACGCCATTATTATCACTTCATAATTTCCAATTCATTAAACTAATTTAATTATCTAAATTAGAATGATACTCTTTCAAAAGTGGTTCTTTTTACTAATAAGGACCAAACAACACCTCTCTACAAAGCTCTTTCTTGCGAATTTCATAATAGACTTATATTTGGTGAGGTCAAAGAAAAAGAGTCTGCTATTGCCGAGAAATTTGGAGTTGATAAATTTCCAAAGTTATTTGTTATTCCAAAAGGAAGTAATGAAGCCATAGAATTTAAAGGTATATACATATATTTATATATTTATTTTATTTTATTTTTCTAATGGATTGTTGATTTATACTTGTCGATCTGTCGTAGATAAATTTGGTTATGACTCGATATTCCAGTTTTTGGACGAACACGCGTTGCCTAAAAAAAAGCCAAAAGAAAAAGCAGAAAAAGAAAAAGAACCTGAACCAGAGCCATGTAAGTAAACTAAACTACTTGATATATATATGTTTATATTTTTATAACTAAACGTACTAATATTAATCTATTTTACAATAAAGTTGATCCTGAAATATATGAAATCACAACCCAATCTGAATTAGAGTCCCAATGTCTTTCAAAGCCAATTGGCCTTTGTGTATTCTCATTCCTCATACTTGAACCAGAGTATCCAGAATCTGTTGCTGATCATTCTAGTAATCTTGAAATTCTTCGTAAAGTAAAAAAAAAATTCCATGATCAAAATAACGTTGATAAAAAACTTAGTTTACGATTTTTCTGGTTTAATGCCTTATCAAAGGGTGCTAAGAAATTGATAAAAGATTTTAAATTATCGGATATGTTTCCAAGTTTAATGATTCTTAATCCAAATCGAAAAGTTTATCGACCTCATATTGGTCCATTTGATGAAGAAGGGATTGTAAAGTTTTTGAATGATATTGCAAAAGGACGCGGAAGTAGTTATGAATATGGTTTTGATGTTTTTATTGACGAGAAAATCACAAAGAAAGACGATGAAAAGAAAGTTGAGAAGGAAGATGGTGAAAAGAAAGATGATGAAAAGAAGGCTGAGAAGAGAGATGATGAAAAGAAAGATGATGAAAAGAAGGTTGAGAAGAAAGATGATGAAAAGAAAGATGAAGAAAAGAAAACTGAAGAAAAGAAAACTGAAGAAAAGAAATGTGGTATAGATGAGTTAGGAAAAGATGGTGTTTGCAGTGGGGATACACATAAAACAGAGAGTAAATCTGATGAGAAAGATAAGCCTAAAGATCATGATGAGTTGTAATAATGGAATTTTTTTACGAGTCAAAAACATTTCACAATAAAATTGCATTGCATAATTAAATAAAGCATTTCCTTGAATTTCACAGTAATGATAATAAATTATATTGCCAGAGCGAAATTATTATAAGTTTGATACAAGTTATACATATTTATTATTTCGTAAGTATCTACAATATGCAAGATGATTTATAAATTTTGATTTCGAAGATTGCCCCAACTATCACGAAGAATATTTCATTGGTTGGAAGATATCTTCCAATCCATCTCACCACATTGAATTGTTGGTCATAATCGTGACCGGACATATCTCTAGGTAAAGTATTATCATACGACGACATGCTTAAATCTTTTGATTTTTTGTAGCTGTCTGTTACGTACATACCTGTACGTACTTCAGAAATTTTCAATATTCAAGAAACTTTGTATGAAATTTCGTTATTCTAGGTTTGAAAGAGTGCAATATCAAATCTCTGCTTATTGCAGTATTGTCAATGTTCATCGCGCCGCGTAATTAACCAATGAAAATTTAGGATTATATTACGACTCATTCGTAAATTTAATTGGCTTAATGTTAAATCACGTGAATTCGTAGATCCCAACGTGTCAATTATATAACGGTTCTTTTTCTGTTAGTTCACGCTTCTTTACTTTTATATTATCAAACGGCGACAAAACAAGAACTGCAAGAATTACTAAACTGTGACAAAAAGCACCACAAAACTAGTGATTCTGGCCGAGCATAATTTTTCGGCTATGACCAAGCCGATAAATTTTATCGGCTTAGTCGGTTTGGTCGAAGCTACGATACAAGCTACTCTTGTTATAGTGAAGTAATCGGGACTATTAGTAAAAATTTTTTCAAAATTCACTATATCAAGAG